GTTGATGTTAGCGGCTGCTCTCACACACACAACTTGGGGGAAGCTTGCGTTCACATTCGGGGAACTTCAAGAGCGTGTGAGAATATGCTGCGTGGATGACGCCTGCTTCTTTATTGAGCTGCCGCGTGGAACACAACAACTCACTTCCACCTCGGCCTCGACTTCAGGCGGTCGATCGCACGTAAAAAGCAATAAGCGGGTGATAGATGATCCCCCCCCCGCTCAATCGAGTTGTTGCTTTTGCCATAACGGTTCATCCAAGGGATCTTATTTCTTAATCAAGATGGAAAAGCTTCTTCGCTCCTACAAAGATGGTGATGAATAGTTTCCATCTCCCTCTAAGTCTGTTACTGCAGACAGATTCAGATGTTTATTCTGTTTTGCACTGGAGAGTGGGTAAAGGGTATTCGGCTTAATATTAAAACTATTTATCAAAACGGTGCATGCGGGAAATCCTGAGTGATACTTTAAAATGGTCTCAGGATAGTTTGCCCTTCATGAATCAAAGTCAACTAAGCAATCATGAGCTTTTTTTTTTTTTCAAGGTTTGATACACTTATTTGTTTGAAATTAAGAAAAATGTCCAATGAGGAATGGCATCCTGTAACATCCGACGCCTTCCAGCTCCATTTCAAAGCACACAGTTTGTCACTTGTCAGATTAATGGACTGGAAGGCAGGTGTAAACAAAAGAATATGAAGACAAGATTCTCTAATTCTCTTTTCTTCAGACAATTTTTGTCTTTTGGGATTGAGCTGCCAAATGCTACAATGGAGCTCAACCATTCCATGTGCCAGATTAGGAGTGGCTTCTTGTCACATTTCTCTCACATAAATGCCACCGCTGTATGTGTGTGTGTCATGTCTGTGTCAGTCTATTTGTCTGAGAGGTTTATAATAAACAACAGTACGAGTTTAGAGCCATGCTATTCACCCTGTGAGGAGCATGGATGTCTGAAACAAACGTCATGGCGATCTATCCAATAGTTGTGAGGATGTTTCACTTCAAAACCAAAAGTGTCAACATTGTGGTGGTGCTAGAAGTGACCAAAGTCAGTGGGACGGATCATCTGGGAACCATGAATAACTGCACGAAATGGTGTGCCAATCCATCAGATAGATGTTGATATATCTCACAGGATATGTGAAAACTTTGACCTGCTGGTGGCGCCAGACCAAAAGAACAGGGGATTAACAAGTAACAAGGATTCATCCTCTGGGGACCATGCATGCTTGTTCCAAATTCTTTTGCAATCCATCGTTGTTGAGGGACACATACAGGACAGGACAGGGTCTCTGCCAGTTCGGTCCACGGTTGAGAGTGTTTAAGACCAGAGCTGGGCTTTAGTAGGATTCCTTACTTATTACAGTATCTGGGTCAGGCTAAATACTGTTGAAGGCTGGACCCGGCGGTAGAGTTAGGGTTAAATTGCCACAAAGCTGTTGTGTTCTTTGTAAGGATCGGTGTCAGTATACCGCCGCTATCATAGCGAGTCAGTGATGAACAGCTGCATTCATGAATTTCAGAGAGTGTATGAAAAAGAACAATGGAGGCAATAATGGCAAGAAACCAGGTTTTTCCAGTTAGTTGTGTCCGTCACTCAAATGCTCAAAATGTCAGACATTCTGGTTTATGTGGCAATAATAGAGAAAGTGTTATATGATCTACACCTTGCACAGCAGAGTTGTGTGTTATGTGTCCCTTGTGTTTCTGGTGAAAAAAGATGCAAACTCTAGAAAGAAGCCCATGCTGTGTAGTAGTAAAGGACTGACATTAAACCTGATTGCAGCTGTTGTTTTGCTGAAAATTGTTCTCCTAACCTTATGAATGCATGAACAACATCAGATAGCACTTAAAGCTGAAAGGAAAATGTCATTTTTGGCTTTCTTGCTGAGAACTAGATGACAAGATTGTCCCCTCTCTCATGTCTTTACACTGAATATAAAGCAGTTGTTAGCTTAGCTTCACACAAACAACTATCCTGGCGCTGTCCAAAGTAGGGGGTGTGAATCTTTTAGTGTCTAACGATTCTGTATTTGATTTAGAATTTTGGGGTCAGGATTCGATCCAAAATTAATTCTCGATTCACAATTTACAATTGCTTTTAAGATAGACGTTATCATCTCAGCAATGTTTTTATCTATCGAAATACCCTGCTTCAATTCATATTTGTTGGTGTTTAGCCTTTTTTAAAGGCTTTATTCAGATAATTTATTCAAGGATTTATTCTTTTTAGGGTGATGATCACAACATATGACTACAGACGTTCAAAGCTTCCTCCGAAAACCTCAGTAGAACCTTAGAATGTAAAAATATATATATTTGGCACAGCCCTAATTAAAATACAATGCAGTTATTTCAAAGCGGCTTAGAGTGGGGGAGCAGAGGGAACAAACCGCTTCGCTGTGTTTCTTGTACAATAGTGTTGAGAAACCAAATTGATTAAATGTTCCCCCGTTTCGTCAGCACACTGTGCAAGCATTCATAACAAACCACAAAATCCGTTTATATGCATATTTTTCGAACAGAAATATGTGCTGTGGCTTTTACTGTCCATCTGTATCTCTGTTCTTTTGTTTAAAAAAACATTATAATAGATTTTTGGAAGTTTAGATTGATTAAGGATTCTAGAAAATATGAATGTCAATTTATACATGATCGATTTTCCCCCCAGCTTTAGCCCAAGGGTAACAAAACCTGCCAACCAGCACCTCAAAGCTCACTAATTAGAGTCACATGTTATATCTCCTTCCCAAACTAAAGTGTAAATTTACAAGTTATGGTTTCATTAGGTGCCATGTGTTTCTGAGCTTGAGAGGTTCTGATAGGCATCTTTCAACAAAGCCAGGCTAGCTGTTTACTCCGTCCCAGCGAAGTTATGCTAAATGCCTGCTGACGATAGATTTATGTTGCCTCAACAAGAATAAACACATTCCCCAAAATGTCGAACTTTGCCATAATTTGGCTAATTAAAAGAATAAACATCAACATACTATAGACTTAAGGACAAATCTTAATAAGAGCTGTTACTTCACTCTATATATTGTAGCTGCAGTATGCTAGTCCACTTAGAATCATAAGGAATTTGTTTTAAGACTATGGATTAGACTTAAATCTAATATAAATGCATGTTACTTGAAAAAAAAAAAAAGGTTTCCTCCATGCAGCCATAAGGAGCCCAGTTGTGCATCTTTCATCTCTGACATTTATTTTTCACCTGACAACCCTGTTTTCCTGCCGCCCGACAACTCAATACATCACAGACCTTATGTATGTGATGAAGTCATTCCGTGATATATCGGCTCGCTGTGTGAGGAAAAGCAGTTTGCATGCTCGGCAGCCCCCGGGAATTTACCGAGGCCTGCACGGCATTGTCTGCTGCCAGCGATACTGTAGCAGACGACACAATGTAGTCTGACTCACAGAGAGCGTTTTGTTCCATTCAGCCGCTACAAAACCTGCTTTTCACTGCGATGTCAAGACGGTCAGGACTCCAGTCCAACTGTGAACTCCGCTGTGTAAATGCTGATCTATTTAACCCATTTGGTACGGCATCGCTGGTGATTCTGGGTTTTTTCCAGTAAACACAATGCTGTTTCTTTTGTGCACCACAACCTACTTAAGTAAATATTGTGAATTTAAAAAAATGCACCCACAGATTTTTATGGTATTTCAGAAGATGTATATTATGAGTTGTATCATAATTTTTGTAACTGGTGTATTTACGATCTTAGAACCTGTGTATGACTGGATTGTTTCACAAGCAGCCATTTTACAAGCTCATTTTTAAACCAATGAAAAGCTAAATAATCACAAAGACATTAGCCGATAGGTTCCCAGATTGAATTTCGGCCAATGGGTTCCTTCTCTTTCGCTCTCCACACAGACTGTTTACCTGTACTCAAAGAAAGCCTGCTGGAACGTGATTGGTCAATATTACTCCGACTACAAATGTAAACTAGAGCACTTGTGACACACAAAACGTATCATGTGTTTATAGAGATTAGTGCATTTATTATCCGACTCAAGAAGAAATGTCTTGATCCAGTTTACCGTGAATGAACTGAACTTCTGCAGGTTTGGACTGAAGTACTTGTTGCTATAACGACAGCTCCATACTACCTTTTAAGCCGGTCTCAAAGAACTGGCGAAAAAAAACAAAAAAAACAGGCTTTTGTTGAGTCACCAACAATGAAATGAAGCTAGTTCAGTGATCTATTTACAAAGAACAGGGATTTACAGTATATTGTTGCCAAAACTGGAGCTCATTCTCCGCCCCGGCATCAATAAACCACCCAAAAGTAATCCACCAGAGCACATATAGATCCAGTGGGAAATATGTGTGTGGTTTAACTCCAGGCATGTTTCCGTGTACCACAAATGAAAAAAAAAAAGCTTTTGTTCAAGAGAGCAAATAAAGGTTAAAACCCACCTTCATATTTGAGCTGTTAGTCTGAGTGTTACAGAGCCGGAAACCAACAGGCCTCATATAGGCTGCACCTGTGCAATCACGACAACGCATCACAGGTGTGTCCTTTGTGCTAAGGAGTCCGATTGAAGGATGAAAGAAAACCTTTTCTGTGCATTTAATAACTACGATGGGGTTTTTGTTCTAAATAGTTCTGCGACTGTATTTTTGTAAATTAAATGTAACTTTAAATGAGGAAGTGGATTTTTTTTTCACCCATTCTTGCAACAGTTACTTCTTTTTTACCTTTAATACATTTGTAATCTATAATACACCTTGTAACTATGCTGTGGCTTCATAGAAACATTTTGCATCCCTTCATGAAGCATTTTATGCCCCATTTTACCAACCGATCCTTGATAGCAGCCTGAAGTTGTGCAGAAATTACTCCTGTTACCTTTCAGAGGAACGCGTGAAATTTGGTGGGACCCCCAATGTTGCAATGGTTAGAATAGTACGATCTGTGCCAGCATCAACACAATCAGTTTATAATTTAACGTCTTTCGCTCAATGAACAGCAAACACACTTCTCTTCAATTTCATTTGCATTTATTCAAAAGGGAAAATATATAATTCAATAAATACTGCGGAAACAACATTGGCAAAGACAACCGAAGGTGACATCAACATTCAAGAAAACATGACAATGCACACCGGGGGGGGGGACAGATAAGAAAATCAAGATGGGCGACTGAGCTGCCAAATGTTACAGCGCGGGCATTTGAGCAAGATAAATCAGGGACGTTACATTAAAAGTGCATCAATACCGTTGATATTTAAACAGATCCTTAACTGTACTGTTGGAGGAAAAAAACAACACAAATTTACACTGTAAACACTGTTCCTCAAGACTTTAGAAAAGTCGCTCATTTTCGAATTAACGCACATATGTTGTTTACATAAAATCAGATTCCAGTGACGGCCCGGTCACACCAGAGAGTGGAAACAGCAGAGTTCTTTTTCCTCGTCTTCGCAATATTTGTTGGTGAGCTGCTGTTGCTGGTGAGCTAACCGCTAACGCACTAGCCAACCTAGCTAACTCAAATGTAGCTCCATTAGCTTCACTTTTTTATTTTCCGTCTATGCCAATGACAGCCTCTGCCGTTTTATTCTCAGTATTGTACATTCAATCAAGTAGTGCCAATGATCGTTTTCATTATTTATTAATCTGCTGATTATCTTCCTGATTAGTCATTTAGTCTGTAACATGTTGAATGAAAAAACGACAAACAATTGACGGATCCAAGCGGTTTGCTGGCGTGACGGGGCCTTTATGAGGATTTTACCCAACAGTGGAGTCTACACATTTCAGGGAAAAAGCAGAGCGGCTCTGACGTTTAAGATTCTAATAAACAAGCTTTAATTGTTGCTTGCATATACACTCCCTCCTTAAAGTGCGGTGGGAAAATGACTCATTGCTCAAACCAGCTGTCAAAACAGACGATTTTACACAATTAAACACATTTTCACTTCGACTAAAGCTCTCCGACCCATTAAGGGTCCATTAAAAGGGTATTTAAACGTGTAATGACAGATATTTCAGTGTCACTAATTGACGCTGCATTTGTTTATAAGATGGAGGAATCATTGGGCAAATCCTGGAGGCCGACCCACAGCTTTGAGTCCTTTTGCTCGCGGCTCCCGGTGCGATACAACAGGAGTCCATAAACCTGTCAGCGTAGAGAACAGTTAGGATGATCTGTCTTTGTGTTGTCTGTAGCTGTTGGCGTGAAATTAACGGGCACAGAATGGCGGTCCGACTGCTACAGACGTGCGGTTGTCAACTCAAGGATCGCTCAGCGGTTCGTGGTTGAAACAACAGGGTGGGGCTAAAAACAAAACAATGATGCGGGTTACACACCGACGACTTCACATTATACCGACGACACATCAAGAGACACGGGACACACAGCGGCAGGTTTCCTTTGTGCAGCACTGAGAAGTTCCTCTTTCTAGTGTCTAACAGTCACAGGAACGAGCAAAAGGTCTTTGATCCGGCACAAACGCCAGCAAACCCCCCCCCCTCCCTCCTCCATCGCCGCTTTTGGCTCTCCTTCAAATGATCACATGCTCTTAAACCCCTCTTCCGTTCACGAATGAGCGTATACTAATGACATCACTCCTGCTCATTTCCTGCCTCGAACCGTGTCCGCTCCGTCCTCCCCGGAGGGAAGCGGGTCACTTCCCCGGGCAACTAGCTCGCTGACGGGTAGCTTCATCGTCTGGCGGGGCAGGGCAGGGGGGGGGGGGGTGTTTCACGTGGGTGGGAATGCTGCTACGCGTTGAGTTTTCCAGCGACATGAACATGAATTGAAGCCTATAAAACCCCTCTCCAGACAAACAAGGGGTCTTTAGCATGCAGGAAAGAGCGTCGCCCCACAGCTCCCTGCTCGCACTGTGCCCGGTCCTCGTTCTCAGTCCGATCCCCCTAAGTCTGATCGGTCACATGACCGAGCAACTTTTGGCTTTGTCCTTCCGCAGGTCCGAGGCCACGGCCGCCAGGTCGGGCCTGCCGGGCATGTGTGAGATCCTCTTGTTGCCGCGGGGGGCCTTGCTGCGCTTGACGTTCTTGTTGCTCTTGTTGATGCAGGCCAGCGTGGCCACGTGGAAGATGTCCCTGACGCTGTTCTCCGACTGCTGGGCCGAGCACTCGATGTAGGGCGCCGAGATCTGCTTGGCCATGCTGGAACCCTGAGGAGGAAGAGGTCGAATGCGGTCACAATACGGGAAAAAAAGGGCTTGTAACAAAAATGACGTGATTTTCTCTCCTAGGGATCAGCCATGGCGTTAAGTTGAGTACAATGAGCGAATATTCATGAATGACTCCAGGAAAAATGTGTCATTTACAACACTTTGGATCTGCATACCTGGTCGTAGGAGACTGGCGTCTGCCTGTGGTTGGAAAGCTCCACCAGCGTGTTCAGGTCGGTGCGCAGGTCCGACTTACATCCGACCAGCAGCATCTTGGTGTTGGGACAAAACTCCTGGATTTCCCCTTTCCACTGTGGAGGAAGACAAATGCTTGCATCATGTAACAGTCCGAGAGAAAACAATGTCGACCACTGCTAGAATAATATGAGCAGAAAATCAATATTTAGCTCTATTTTCCACTGCGATTAAGTAATCAAATGTGCACGTTTTCCTGAATGACGTGACACAACATCCCATGAATTCCCCCCCCCACCCATTCCTTTAAGCACAAAGGTTAAAGCTGCCACTTCCTGGAGTCCCCCGTGCTTTCAACCCTGGAAGGGAACTACAAATAATCCTCATGTTTCCTCCCGGACAACAATAAATGCTCTGTGATCGATGGCATTTCTCCAGGGGCTTTAAGCTGAGGCTAATGTGCCTCAGGGCTGGCTGGTCAGGGGATCAAGATCATCAACATCCAAAGAGGAAGTTGTTTTGTACAATGTGTCACTTTCTGTCTGCACAAACACCACTTGACTAAAAAGCCAATGCTCATTCCAATCTACATCGTCCGAAACACGACCTGCGACTGACACAACGTCGAGGAAACGCACTTAACAAACGTTGTTTTCATGAGCCTCTTTATCAGTCAGATGACTGACTGATGCAGCACGTCCTGCTTTAGGTTCAGCACACACATGTGGCAGTCAGCCAGCCACAGTCATCAGACGTTAACCGCGTTAACCCCGTGTGAGTAATTGGCGGCTACATCTCGGTTTAAAAGTCAGTCGGTGGAGAACAGCCGCTCCGGTGATTGAACCCGGCCGGCCTCCAGGTCACACTACATCCTAACATCACAAGATCTGCTGTGACTGAGGCTGCAGAAAAACCTCTCGACTGTAGACTTGGCCTTTGTCAGTGGATCAGACAAAATCAAAGACTTTACAGCGGAGGAATTTTTAAGAGTTTAACGGCTAAAAGACATCTACTGAGCTTATCAAAGGCTTGATGATCGCTCCTTGAATGAATGTGTAAGTAAAAAACAGTTAAGAGTGCTCTTAAAAGAAATTGCGACCCCGGTGTTGTCCGGTCTTTCACACTGTGTGTTTTCAGTTCATGAAAGTTAATTGTAACAATTTGGTTGCCTATAAAATGTCTTGTTCCGTTGTGCTTGGTGGGGGGCGACCGTGGCTCACTGGCTTAAGAGGGTTGTCTGGTAACCGCAGAGTCAACGGTTCGATCCTCGACTGGGACGTGTCATGTGTCGTAGTGTCCCTGAGCAAGACACTGAACCCCCGAACCCACTGCTCCCTATATACAGGGATGGGTCAAATGCAGAGGTCAAATTTCGTGTATGTGTACATGACACATGACAATAAAAAGGGTTTATTTCTTAGCTCCACCCTCTCGTGTCACTTCTGGTTGCAAAAAAAACCCCAAGATGGCCAAATCTTTCAGGTGAGACAAAACGGCTTCGGAGAAATGGCTTCAAATGAACCCCGTGTCCGGAGCCCCCTTTACCTTTTTCAGTACGCTGTCAAGGGTTTCAGGGCGGCTGATGTCGAAACAGATGAGGACAGCGTCCGAGTCTGGGTAAGAGAGAGGCCTCACATTGTCGTAGTACGGAGATCCTGAAACAGAAGAAGATTTAAGAAGTTGAAAAAGTATTCACACAACTTTTTTCCCCTGCGAGGCCTAAAATTCTTCACTGAAAAGGAAGTGCCTGCATTGAAGTGAGGGGCAGTAACCACATCTACAGAGAAAACCACAAACAGATTCTTCTGAATCAATGAACACGCCCGAAAGATCACTTTAAACTCCTAAGCATTTCTTGGCAGCTATTCTCATATGGCATGATTGCAGCTCAGCCGTAATCCATAGCAACCGGGGCGAGAAAAACAAAACAAATAATGCCGCATCAGTCGGAAAAATGTGCTGACTACGGCGAGATCACTTGTTGAAGAAATGCTCTCCCGGGGAAGTGACTCCCAATACTTGCAAACTGAAAACATGTGTGAGGGAGACGCCCATCTCTCCGGCAGACTGAAACATCTCCGGGGAGGAAGGGGGGAGGGCAGGGTGGCCTCATGTCAAGATCACATGACGAGCCAGAGCTGACCACACAATCGGCTGCCAAAAATCCGGAGAATTTTGTTTTTGGTAACTGAAGGTTCCCCCTGGGAGGTCCTCTATAAACACTGCCGTGGAGAAAAGTCAGGAATGCACGTTCACGTGCACGCACACACACACAATCAGGGATCTAGTGTTCCTAACCTAAACGGTCCGGATGGGAGACGACACCGTTTATACAATCTGCGCTTCCTTCCAGGCCCGGGCCTCGCACAACAAAGCATGACGATGGTGTATGTGTGCACAATAAATGAGCCGCCGCTGCACACAGAAATCTGAACCATATCTATGTCCACAATCATACATTCCCAGTGTTCAAGCCAGGGCGGGGGGGGGTGAAATGGGCTGGTTAGGTCACTGCTCCATCCAACAGGGATAATAAACAATTCTGTGAATTCCACTGTCTCACTTTCCCAAATGTTGATACACACGAGCCAACAAAGGTTGCAGCTAATTTCTGTGTCGTAATGCCTGAGAAAAAGTGAGTCCGTGAAGTATGGACGCCAAGAACAACCCAGAATAAATCATTTTGATGTCTTGATCTGAACATAATGTGTTTTTGGCTTTCCCCACTCACTCCCTCAGGATCCTTTGTAAAGCCGTCTGATAGGTGACACCACCTAAACAAAAAGGAAGTACAAGTCGAGGAGGAACGTGGGATCCCCTGCAAGAATTTATTTCCCATTTTTCACGGCCGTATTGCATTGTTTGAAGGTTTTTCTTCTTTCTTTTTTTTCAGCCCTGAGTGCCTGGAACCAATCACTGGAAAAATAAGACCCTGCGACTGAAAGGGGAAAGAGTCGGTTGACATTTTACGATGAATTGATTCTTTTGAGCAAACCGATGGAGGGGGAACACACATATCTGAGTGGCTGGGTGGAGTGTGTGCGTGTTTGCGATGCGTCTCTGTACATGTGCTTGTGAAATTACTTGGAGATTTATGTATTTATAGCTGCGAATTTCAAGCCTCACAACACAGAGGATCAAAATGTGCCTGCGGCTTATGCGCAGGTCTGTTAATGGTTTTCATTTGAGACGTGAGAGTTTTTGATAGGAGACGCTCTCTGTCTTGATTATCGTTTACAGCGGAGTCGTAACTGCGTTGAGGTCATTTTGCTGCCAAGCGGAAAGATAAGAGGACATCCCATAGTCCTGGTGACAGCCATCTAATTAGCTCCTGTCATTGTTCTCCCACAGGATCTCTAAATCTGGACAAAGACACACACCCCGTCCTCCCTGTCCGTCCTTTAAACACACACACTCTCCCGCTCTCTCGCCTACTCTTAAACCTATTCCCCCTTGTGCCTCGCTCACAGCAAATGAATGCATGACGACGTGAGAGGAAGCAGTACACTGTGAGACAATACCAAACCTCCCACTGATGAAAAACTAAATGTCTTTCCATGACTGCGCAGAAACTTTTACAAAATGTAAAATTAAAAATGTTCTTCCTTCCCGGTGTGCTGACTTCCTCAACAGCTGGGATGAAAAGCCCCACTTAATGCACATGAAACGAGTCGGAAAATGCATTCTGCTCTATTCGCGAGATTGTGACTCAATATTCAAATCCACAGATGTTCTCTCGACTTCCATCGAACGACAAAAGAATGACGTTTCCCCATGTTGCCTGTCGGGAATACGGTTCTTAAATAATTCCGTGACGTTTCAGACATTTTCTGTTGGAAGCCCTCACACAAAAAACGTCTTACAGACATGGAAATGTACTTTTATCGCACACGAACACACACACACACACACACAGTCCTGAGGTAAGCCAGCTGCGGCCCAACAGTTTGGAGGTATGGTCTGGCAACAGGTCTGCAGGCCTGCTGATTTACTGCATAGCTCACATAGCTTAGCTGGGGGGGGGTGGTGAGAGTGTGTGTGTGTGTGTGTGTGTGTGTGTGTGTGTGTGTGTGTGGAGAGAGAGAGGCGCTACACCTTCAGGGACACCTGTGGAAACAACAAAACAGCGACAGGCACGGCCAGCCATCCCCCACACACATTATCCAGCTTCAGTAACCTCTCGCCAGCCAGACGCATTCAACGCAAACAGTGAGGACGACAAACGGCAATTCAAGCTGAACCGTTGTCAGCTGTTGTTGCTGTGGTTACCGAGATATTTGCTGCTGCAAACACTGCCGTGTAAAACTTATAAAAGGTTTCATTTTTGGGGTGTTTTACGATGAGTTAACAAGGAAAGTACGTCTAACTTCGGTGAAGGAGAGACTTGAATTTTTTTTTTTTTTTTTTAAAAAGGAGTACATTGTTGGATTTTTCTGTAGAAAGAATAGAAATAATAGAAGAATATTTCCTTTTCTTGACATTTTGTGAGTTCATTTGATTGATTTATTGGCCTAAAAAAAGCTAAGAGAAATTGTGAAAAGTACCGAACGGTACAGACGGTTGAAAAAATGTGAACACATCGCTCAACCCTACCTAAGATAAATGCACAATGCAATACGTTATACATTTCTTTGATAAAGAAGATCAGCATGGTTGTGATTTAGATCACAAACTATCAGAAATGTAGCTTAAGATAGCCATTCATCTCAAAACCATTACATTCAGATGTGGATGCACCTAAAAAACGTATAATATACGTAAATGAGTTGATGACAGTCGTGGCCACATCAACAACAAAGTGTGAATCGAGTAGGAATCCACAGAACAACTACAAAAGCATGTGGAGGACCAAGAGGGCAAGGTGTTCAGTGTCAAGACCGGACACGGATTTTAATGGTGGGTGTAACATCACACAGAAAGTCCTTCCAACACATTAGCAGACAGGAAGTCTTTTCATCTCTCCCAGAATTCCACTGCCCTCAAGTTGATGCACTCTATCGGCCACTGTCGGCTCAAGGCTCTCGCTCGCCGGTCGGCAAATTCCAGCATGATTCAATTACCCCCCTTGGAAACGAGGTAGGGCTTTAGCGGACCACGCCACTTCTCTTTCACTCCGCCGAGGATCTAACCCGGCCGGGTACAATGGGGGTCTTTGTAGGCGAGGAAGGAGAAACCTTTAGTCTGAGGAATGCCAGACATGCGGCTCCAATTCGCTGAGCCCAGAAATGTGATCCGATGCAACAATGGCCGCCGACACAAGAGAGTGGAAGGGAGGGCACGGTTTGCAGAGGAGCTTACTGAATGCACAAAAAAGTCCCATAGTTCAACTGTTCAGCATGACAAGAAACACCGCACAGGGAGAAGACCTGAAGACCTGGGCTCCACTATCATCACATATCATCCTTTAAAAAAACTCCTTTATCTTGCTTTTTGCCCCTGTGTTTCAAAGTGGGCCGTCTTCTAATCTGTCGGCAGTTGTTCAAATCAGCCACTAAACAAAACACAAGGAGAAGTTTCCCTTAAGGTTCCCCAGGATAAATATTCCCAAATGAGATCCATGGGGTCCAACACGTGGGTCTCTTTGGGAGTCCTTGATGTGAAAATGCCCGAAAATTCCTGTGTTTTTCCTGATATTATTTTATTGACGCTTGCATTCCTCCTGGCTTCGGCAAATTGCCTCGAGGAAGTTGGAACAAACAGGTCACACTGATTTCTGAAGAGCTAAGCTGCTTCGTGCGGTCCACTCCAACATAAGTACATTAGGAGTGTTTCACGAGTGTCAAATCTGATTAAACTAATTCTGGGATTAGCGCTGAAACAATAAGTTGATTGACAGAAAACAGCATTTTTAAAGTTTATCAATATTTTGAAGGTGTATTTCTGTTTGATAAACCCACCAAATAGCAGACAGACAGTTAGAGACTAGCTTGGTGAACACAGTGGGACATTTAGCAGATAAAAAGCCAGATGTTGGTGGAGATACCAAAGATACCAAACCAGAGCATAAAAGCAGCAAATACTAGACTTGAAACATGACCCTAAATAAATACTAATGTTGCCTGGGGTCAGATCTCACCAGCCATAAGTGCGTCGGTGTTGTGTTTACAGCTTGTTTTCCTGTCCCCAGGCAGCCAAAAAATAACTGTATGCAGGTTTAAGAATCGATAAATTGTATAAAAGGATTTGCTGCTTTTCTCTGTAAATTAGCCATTTAAAGACATCACCTTGGGGTTTGGGAAAGTGTGAGTTTCTTGCCATTTTCTGCCATTTTAATGAAAACGGTTGCCATCTGCAGTTCCCCTGCCTGAGATTACCTACTTTTCAGGTTTTGAGATGGATCTTTGCTCATTTCAACTCGCATGGCAAGAGGCCTCGGGCACACAGGCCCACAGGGGTTGTTCTGTTTACCTTCCCCGTCTTCCTATCCTCCTGTTTACCTCTCACGCGGTAAAACACCTTCGCAGCACATTTGAGACATGTGGGCAGACGGCATTAACCACTTCCTTTTGGTGGTGAGAGACGTGCGAAGCATCAAAGGGTTCCCCGTCGGGCCCCGCCCTGAGGCCTGGGAAGCAGAGCTAGCGCCGACAAGCTGGGTGGGTGGAGGGGGGACGGGGGGACGGACAAATGGGAGGCAATACGACAGGCAGGCATTTACCTTAATGACCTGAATTACTCCCATCACCCTCCCTTTCAAAACACACACGGCAGCCATCTCATTAGGCCACTCGTCACCGCAGAACAAAGACCACCACGGTGTGTGATTGAGAGGGAGGGGGTTGGATTGTTTCTCTTCATCTCTGCGTCCTGGTCTTTGTCCCGGTGCATGCTGGGGTCACACACACACACATACACACACACACACACACACACACCTCCCCGGCACACCTCAGGAGATAAGGGATCGATTGGATTGGCTACGGCCAATGGGTTGTCTCTACAAAGGGGACGAGTCGAGTCGAAGGCCGTATCAATCAGTCTCTGTGTGTGTGTGCATGCTGGGTGGGGGTTAGGATTGAAGGTGTGTGTGCGTGTGTGGTGGGTGGGGGTCTGGCTCCATCTCCGACCCACTGATCTAATAGGAACAGCGCTCCCCCCAACCCCACCCTCGCTGTTTTATGAAGCTGAGAGTAAAAGAAAAATGGCTCCAGGCGGCCAGCCAACACAGCGCAATAAAACAAAATTCTCACCCTGGCCGACTTTCATTTCTTCTTCCCCAGCACGCGCGCACGCGCAAACACACACACACACACAGTAGGGGCGAAAGAATTTGAAACCCGACCTCCCTGCCTTTCGCTTGCTTGCTGAGCTTGGAAACGAGGGTGACTTACTCCGAAGAAAACATCTAACTTGATGCCACTTTTGCAGCTCAAAGGGAGGCCCAGCTGTTATTTGTGCAAAATCTAAATCTGTTAAAATCGATTCTGCGGTTTTGCTTCGTTCTTCAAAGTTCAACAAAGTTGCTGAAACGTCGCTCAGGAATTCCAGGAAAGAGACCCGCAACAGCTGGCTGTGTGCTTGTCCCCGCCCATCACACACACACACACACACACACACACACACACACACACACACACACACAACATACGCCTCGCTCACGCCTCACTGCTGTGCTATTCACTGCTCGGGCATTGATGGATGGGAAAGTGGGTTTGTTTACACACACACACACACACACACACACACACACACACACATGTTAAAGCATACACAAGGGGACACAGCAGCTGGTTTGGACCCCGAACACAAAGTCCAACCAAACAAGTGATAAAAGCTGTTGGACACGCATTGCACAACAAAACTTTCCCCTCAAAAAAAAAAAACCCCGCAGTGGGAAGAATTTCAAAAGTGTGTTCTCCAGATGTACGAATACGTTCAGCCCGTCTTTCCCCATTTCTGCCTTGGCCTTTCCTCAGCTGGGAAGAAATCATAAATCAAATCCAGCGTTTTACACTGAACTGCGACACTAAACTGTTTCTATGTAGGTAAAAGGTGAGCCACTTTCCTAATCTGAGGGGGGGGGCACATGTCTGGCTTGTGGGACCAGCAACTCTAGACTATGAGTAAAGGATTAACCCAGCTTTGTTGATTGAAATGAGTCAGAGATTAATTTCGTTATTCAAAAATGAAAGCCTGGGCCTCTTTAAATGTCACGATTTGGACATATTTTAGGGGAAATACGTCAATGTTGACTTATGAAGACATGGCCAAACACAGATTCAATTTGACCCCCCCCCCCCATCTCCACACAACAGGAGAGCATGTCCACAGGGGTCACACAGGAATTGTGCAAGCAACCCGCATGTTTGGACATGTTCGGACATTTCACCTGGATTGATTTGCATTGAAGATGAAGCACATAAGAGAGGTGATAGGAAGGAAGGGAGGAAGGAAGGAAGAGAAGAAGGAAGGAAGGAAGGAAGGAAGGGAGGCATAATTACCTGAGGTGTCCCACAAACTGAGCTCAATCCTCTGCGTGTCGATTTCAAAACTGGCTGTGTAGTTTTCGAACACTGTGGGGACGTAGCTCTGCAGGAAACAGAAATAAAATACATGAACTTTTGTTGGACATGGCTAAAATGAGGCCTATAAACAGAGGAATAATTCTTAAGTATTATACCTTTTTAATAACTAGTGCCAATACGCAACTAGTACCATAATACTACAGCACTGTTACCACTACTAGAACTGCATTTGTTGTAAGCATTACAGCTACAACAGATACTAATACATATGCATGCATCATATAATATAGGTATAACATTCAATAAATGTCCTTCGTCATTATTAGAGCACCCGCCCTTCTGACACATCAGTTTCCACACAAGCGCGAGGCGTTTTCTCCGCGTGTTAATAACACCAGGTTAATTAGCATCACGTTAATCAGTCCGGGTCTCACCTCGGGGAAACAGTCCTTGGCGAACACGTGAAGCAGGGCGGTCTTCCCGCACTGGCTGTCCCCCACCACCACTATCTTACACTTCACGCTCTGACTGGGCTCCATGCCGGATTTCAGAGATAGTTTCTGACACGAGCGTCTCTCCTTCATTGATTGCGGAAATGGAAATGAAGCGTAAAAGTCCAATCCTGCGCGCGCGTGTGTTGTGGAGTCGTCGACAGCGACAGAAGCGTCTCCCTGCTTGTCCGTCTTCCGTCCGCCTCGCCCGTTGTCTCCGCTTGCTCTGTGCCGGTAAATGCCATTTGCCTGTATTTATAACGTAGCAGGGAGCCAATGGCAGCGGCTCTCCTCCTGCGAGGACGAAGCTCGTCCCTCCCGCGAGCCCTGCGCGTGAGCCACATACAGCAGCCCGCAGGAACTTCCCTCCGTCATGGCGCCCTCGTTCGGACGACCACAACTTTTACATGAAATACATTGAAATAATAATTAACAATATAATATTCGAAAGAAATTGAATTTCACTGTTCTGTGTTGATATGTACAAATGAATAAAAAATACAAATGCAACAATTTTGAAACACTACTTCCTGTTTCCACAACATGACAGGAAGTAAATAAACTCATAATGCTACTAGTTTGTTTGATTTGAGCTGCTAACTACAATTAGCATTCAGTTGAAGGAAGATTACTGAAGAGTAAACCATCATTTAGTCATGGACCTTTCTTAAAAACAATTGTGATAGAATGGAAAATGGGTTTGTTTGTAGTTTGGTTTGAGGCAACAAAGAAAAGGTGAAGCAGCTTAATATTCAACATAAACTTGAGCTTTTAAATTGCATTTTACTCAGTAACATATACGTTTAAAGTCATTATGACAAATGCTCTAGATTAGATAGTTTTCTTTGTGTAAATTCTAATAAAACACGTAAAATCGAAATTACTCTGACTCGATAATTTCCCTTTTAAAAAAAAAAAATTGCAACAAGGAAACCCCTAAAACTGGCTTGGTTTATACGGTCATACTCTATAAGTAATACAACACCTTTTTATTTAAGTATATACAAACTGTTTTTAAATGGAGGCATTCCCCAATCTTACGTACACAGCCGTAACCTTCATGAAAATATTTATTACATCAATTAAACTCAAAGAATGGAGTTGGAAATATGTGTATTTTTTAATCACATGTTACATTTCATGTCAAGCCTGTTAACAGGGGCTTGCTGGTCACAAGTTGTATCTTTTCCTTTACAATCTCTTACAAAACTGATGAATTTGAAGCAATAAACGTGTTGCACTGCCTACTCCTGGGAGGAATCATTTACTCATTAATATATTCTTTAAATAATATGCTGATTGGCAGTTTCAATAAAAAAAAAAAGTTCTTTAATATTGTTTCTGCTGAAACAGTGTACAACAAAGGCCCCTGTGACTCCCAGTTATCCCAAAGTGATGCAGCAACACGCCGTGTTATCTTCATTCTTCTTTACACACATTTCACTCGATTCCTACGGCGAATGAGCCCTCGGGCACCGAATTAGCTGAACATGGCGAGCAGGTATAGATTGACTCGCACGCACAGAGGTTTTTTCTGTAAGAGTGAATTAATTAGAAAAAAAGGCAATAAAACCCAGTGAACCCAGTAACAAGTGCTTGCTTATTTCTAGCGAGCAGCTTTGGTAGTTCCCCTCATTATCGGTGAATAATACACATACTTATTGTGGCACACACAGCCAGGGAAAACATATTAGCTTTCATTCTTCTGGGAAGACAGAAAAAAGGGTAAAATGAAAATTTTTACATTTCCCCTTCGGGCTTGATAACGCTTTTCCATCTTTTTGTGAGTGTGAGCAGACACCCTTCTGGTCTCAAGGCCTCGTCTCTCAGCCTTCAGGCTTCCTTCCCAACACGGCAGCACCACTATCTTTTTTTTTTTTTCACAAAAAAATGGGAAAACAGCAGCGTTCTGCATCAGCTCTCCCCCTCTGTGACGGAGTGATTGGACTCTCTGTGCTGCTGGCAGCGTTCTGCCTTTACAGTGAGACAGCTCCACCCTGCAGGCTGTGTGGTGGGAGTCCCGTCTGTTGTGTGGGAGCTCTGCCTCCAGGACACAACGCTGCCAGGAGAAAAGGGACGGGGGACGGGGGGGGATTTATACTACTATAGCTCTGCTATTTGGCTGCCGTCTCTGTACCGTATGCATTTGACCTCATTCAAATTCTGTCTGAATCAGGAGATTACAGAGATTTTACCTGCATGGGTTGCAAAACAGCCTGTTTGCAATTTTTTTGATGTAAATAAATAAAAACATGCTCCCTAGCTAAACCTTTGTCCTTCCTCTGATATATTTCTTCATGTTCCAATAAATGCAGCTTTCTGAGATTGAAACGGACACAGCAGAGGAGACAGCGAACAAAACCACATTAGCTGAGGTGTTTGCACATTATGCCCTTGTGCCCTTCTCCAGTTTTTTTCAGGCTGGCTGCCTGTGTGTGTGTGTGTGTGCATGTGTGTGTGTGCTACATTCTGCTATAGCCGGCAGCATTGCCAATCTCACTTGGGTGCAGCCACACATTTGGGCCAAAGTGAGACTGTGCAGCAGCATCTTAAAGGAAAATTCCACCCATTTATATTTAAGATATCATCAATTTGTTACGCATTTAGGAGTTATTTAATTTTGTGTGTTCTCTTAACCTTGCCATGTCTAATTTCTACCCAAAATCCCTTGCGACAAACCAAAGAGAAAAGGCGTAAACTTGCCGGAGCATTTCAGGATCGAGAAAAGAGTCTGGTAAAGAAAAAGCTGTAATATTTACCATCATCATTCAGTTGTGTACTGAGGTCTGTTGAGTCTTGGGTCAATACAACTAAATTGGTTCCCTGCCCCCTGCATCTACAGCATGATTGATGCTGCTATAGATAGCACAGCGGACCCAGAACATACAGCGTAGTCAACATTAAAGGATCTTTGTGTGAATGGAATTGGCAGACAAAGTGCAGTTGCCTGAATACTGTACACCGCTCCCAGAATAGAAATGAGGGTACCACCTGTTTCTGGTCACATGCTGCTGTCAACATCCTGTAAATCTCCACGAGGGAATGCAAAACGCTAACTACCCTCAATTAGAGCTAATTTCCCTCCAAAATGTACTCCTTTTGTTTTTTATCTTTAGTAGCTTTCAACTGGTTTTCATCTTTTTATTTAGTGTGGGTTAACAGAAGTTTTAGCTGATAGCTGGGTTCCACAGAGGATCTTGAGGTATCCTTGACGGAAACGTCAATAAGCTCAAATACTGCATCTCTCCTTTGGGAATCCTTTTACCACGGTTGTAGCCACCGTCCTCACTGCCCCACACATATAGAACAATGCAGAGATGCCCTTGGAAAGTGAGGGATTTCTAGCAGCTCTGGGAATGTACTCGACAACTGCGGCACATCTAATTTAAGTCCTTGACTGAACCATTTAGGATGTTCAAAATCCAATTTAAAATCACAAAATAATGATAGGTCCGTACATTTGAACGAATACACTGTAATTAATCAAATCTAAAGCGCACAAACTGTAAGAGGTGAATACTAGATGACCTTGGTGCGTATTCCCGCAATGCTTTATTACACAACTAGGTCAGCAGACATCTATCTCGCAGTATTTTCTAAAGCAGTCCAGTGTGTTGGCTTCGGTAAATGTTGGAAACAATCCGGGAAATCTGCCACAGATATTTTTCAAAGCTATAAATAATTTGAATTATTCATATGGAAAGTACCTCAAAGCAGCAACACTGTAGTTTTCCAATGACGAGCTCACATCCCTGTGTGTTTTGAATGGCAGGCGTCCATTGTTATCTGTGGTATCCAGGTCTGGGTCACGCACCGGTGCCTGAAGCTTCTCGGAGTACCGAAATGAGAGGGATTTGTCAGGTTGTTGCAAGGATTTCCAGGAAATCTCAGGCAATCGCAGGTGCGGTAACCATTCGAAAATGACGATTAAAAACAGTTTCTCCCAACAGGTCACAAAAGATGATGAAGAATGAGTAACAAATAATGTAATTTGAAGTGAATCTTAAGTGGTTTGGTTTTAGCCAGCGGGCCAGCAGTGCTTGGAGGTGTGCGAGGAGTCTAGGTCACTGGGCCGCTCTCCCTCCACCCTGACGGACGTGACAGCATGCTGCCCCACAGTTATCTCTGTCGACGTGCATTCGATCAACGGAGCGCTGACATTTACACACACACACATTGCTTCAGTTCGAGAGGGATTTCCTCGACGGTGAGTCACCGCGACTGGCAAATTAAGGGCAGATTCAAAACAGTTCAGGGGAGAAATAGCGGTGGACGCCACTTTTGTTCGTTATTCAAAAACAAGTGCAAGCGCCATAGGAGCTGTAGAAACATGTCACTGTTGTGTAATTACTTAAAATCATTTTTTCTGTATTGTGAAATCACTTTAGTGATCACTGTACTGTATATACCACTTTGTCCGTTTTTGTATTTTCTTATGAAAATGGTAAAATATAAATTGAATTTGGATTGGAACATCGTGAACATTGCTGAACACAACTGGGAAGATTTCCAAAATTCCTTTTAGCATGAAATGTCTTGAGAAATGTCTCATCCTGTTTCCAGAAACCCTTCTAGTTAATTCCGTTCTTGCATTTTTGGCTCAAGCTTTCGTGGAGGGAAGAAAGGCACGAAAGAGGTGAAATTAACATCAAAAACTGTTTTTGCATGTTAATGATTTGTTGATTTTCTAATGTAAACTCTATTAGGATGGATTATTCTATTTGAATCTCCATTTCTAGTAATTATGAGTAATACTTCAGTATGTCCACACCTTTTATGGGAATACAAAGTTTAACCAAATAATGAATCACCATTACATCAACATTACAGATACAATGTTAGCAAGAAGAACCAGAGCCCAGATATCCCATCATCCAACAGGTAAATCTACACAATGACATTCTGGGTTTCCTAGTGCATGAAACAACTGGAACCGACTGGAACCCTCTAATGAATCCTAATAAGCGTCAGCTCTCCCCCCCC